ACTGATTGCTTTAAAAACACCAAATCGAAATATGAACCAACTGTAAGGAGGAAGAAAATGAAAAAGCCTACAGTACTAAGCATGCCTCTGGCTCATCACGCTAGGAAGAGCTTCACTTGCAATCCAGCACCCTCGGAACAGTCCGCACTCCAAAGAATGCAGAGCACCAAACTGTTGCGGGCCCAAAATTTGCCAGAAAGAAGGGAATTCTGTTTCTACGACAGGCGAACAAAAACGTATAGGAACGTCCAGGAGTGTAAGAATCTGCACGTTGGCCTTTGCAACCGTGGCCTTTTGCAAGCAGAAAAGGCGATATTTTTTTGGGGTGGGGGGACATCCAGCGTGGGAAGCAAGAATATATGCGACCCACGGAAGATGCTGGGCTCTCCTGGCCCCCTTGGTTTTGGGGCCCAGGCCCCGTTTAACCGGCGCCTGCCTCTCTTCCTCCCCGTTATACGCACCGGAGCCGGCGGCCACGCTCCCCGCGTAAGAGTCCTCGTTGAAGCCGGCCGCCCCCAGCGGGGTCCCTGCGGCGAACTGCGGGGTCTTCTCCCCCCAGTGGAGGTTGCGGCTGCCGGGGATGTCCGGCGGGCTGCTGACCCAGTGGCCGAGGTCCGGCTTGGCCACGAAGCCCCCCGGCTCCTCTCGGCCGCCCCGGTAGCCCAGGCCGTCGAAGCCCTCGGGGCGCCGCGGATGCATCGGGCCACAAGCGAGGAGAGAGCCGGGAGACCCAGGAACGTCAAGCGGCTTTGACAGCAACAACAGGGAAGACCTCGTCGCTGCGCCCTCAGGTTCCCCCACCAGGCTTCACTTCCGGGTACCAACCGGAAGCAAACCCCGCCGCCCTGAAGCATACTCGTCTCCATGGAGGGTCATGTGACACGGGCTGGTGTTATGGGGGGCGGGGCTCGTTTTGCCAGCCCGCTTCCTGCTAACCTAGAGATAAGAAAAATAGAGCGTTTAGTTGTCCCTATGAAGGGACAGGCTACACCTATATTCTCCATATTTACTGGGAAAAGTTGTTTTTAAATCCACCAGACAATATTAGGACCAACCAAAATATTTTTGTTATTCATTCATTTATTTAATTTGTATACCGTCCAAACCCACAGGTCTTACCTGCTGGTAATGTAAAGAAAAAAAGAAGGTACCTTTTACCATATGTGGCAGTAAAGGTAAAGGGATCCCGAGCATTAGGTCCAGTCGTGACCGACTCGGGTTGCGGCGCTCATCTCGCTTTATTGGCCGAGGGAGCCGGCGTACAGCTTCCGGGTCATGTGGCCAGCATGAACAAGCCGCTTCTGGCGAACCAGAGCAGCACACGGAAATGCTGTTTACCTTCCCGCCGGAGCGGTATCTATTTATCTACTTGCACTTTGACGTGCTTTCGAACTGCTAGGTTGGCAGGAGCTGGGACCGAGCAACGGGAGCTCACCCCGTCACGGGGATTCGAACCGCCGACCTTCTGATCGGCAAGTCCTAGGCTCTGTGGTTTAACCCAGCGCCACCCGCATCCCCTATGTGGCAGTAGTGTAAGGTAATAAAAGCATTCTGGGAAATGAAATATAATGAACTGGGGAAAAAATGTTTAAAATAACTTTTGTTAAAAAAACAAGGAAGCCTTTTTATTAGGAATTGTAGGTACCGACATCCCAAAGGAGCAGACTTTTTATGTATGCGACAACAGCTGCATGGATGCTCCTAGCCCAGAGATGGAAAGAAGAAAGAGTCCCTACCAGAGAGGAATGGCAAAGCAAGCTGTTGGACTACACAGAAATGGCAAAACTGACTGGAAAACTCAGGAACCAAGAAGACAAAAAACTTCAAGAAAGAATGGGGGAAATTTATAATTTATTTAGGAGACCAGTGTAAGCAGATGAAAACATTAGCAGGATTCTAATAACACTTGTCATGTAACAAACACTGTGGACAATATGGATGGATACAAAATATAGTTTATGAAATAATATGCAGTTGAAAATGTTGACAATAGGATCCATGAAGGGGATGATGGGAAGTCTCGAGATTCAAATAAATCTCTATGTATGGATATGTATTTGATATTGTTATAACTCTACACTTGTAAAATCAAATAAAAACGATTTCCAAAAAATAAAAAATAAATCCACAGGTCTCAGGACTGTTACAACATAAAATCACAATATGAAAACAGCATGCAACAAGACCTGCACCAGCAGTTGGTACTTCCAGGAGGCTGGAGAAGAGACTTGTCACCATTTCCCTCCCTGACATTTGCCTTTTGTTGCTGTCAGCCTCCTCTGGAGTAAGGACTTTGCTAGGTGTTTGCAAATATTCAGGTTACATGCTGGGATGAAGAAGCAGTGGTAGATCCCTGTCTATGGAAACATAAAGCTTGGCTGTTACTCAGGTCTGCTTCACACTTTCAGCAAAATATACATGCTCCTAGTTGGGTAGAAAAGACAAACATGGCAAAGCCCCAAATTGACAGAGCAAACCAAACCCCTAATCCACCATGCTAGAGGGGGTTCGGGTGAGGCAAAGGTGTGCATTTGTTGCAAGGCGTCAAACCCTATAAAAACCCTTAAGTCTGGCCAATGAAATTCAGGAGCCGGGAGAAGATGGAGTCCAGTCATTTTATTACTTAGGAAGCAATAGGTTACAGTCAGATCGTTTTGCAAGTACTGTAACTGTGCATGCCCAGTGGTCTGGGTAGTGGTATTTATGAAGTTTCAAACAAAGCATTTCAATTTCCACCAATCATATATATCACCTTGGCCTGGCCTGCAATCTGCCTTTGCCAGTGAGGGAAGCCGGTCATCAGTGGAGCGCCTAATGCAGCTACCCAAAGCGTGGGTGGAAGTTACGTACTATTGGCCCACTGTATTTTCCCCAATGGTAAAATAAGTATAGAGGCTCCTGGATTAGACCAATGGGGTATCTAGTGCAACATCCTTTTCTGAAAGGGGCTAACGATGCCAGAAGCTGGACCCAAGTACCAGAATATTCTTTTTTTCCTGCAGTTTCCAGCAATTGGGTTTCACAAGCATTACGGCCTCCAACCACCAAGTGAGAGGATACATAGCTGTCAACTTTTCCCTTTTCTTGTGAGGAATCCTACTCGGAATAAGGGAATGCCCCTTAAAAAAAGGGAAAAGTTGACAGCTATGAGAGGATAGCCATCATGTCTAGTAGTCATTGGCAGCCTTATCCTCCTTAAATTTGTCAAATCCTCTTTTAAATCCAACCAGGTTGGTGTCTATCACTGTGTTCTGTTTGAGTTCCATAATTTAACTATGGGCTGTGGGAAGAAATGCATTCTGCCCGAATCTTAAATAGCTGGTGTTTGGTGATAACACTCAAAATGGAGCATGGGAGGGAGGCAAGGAGGGAGCACAACTGGACCAGCACAAGATTTGCTGGATCCTGATCTTCGCCTGCTGATGTGTGACATGAATCCACCCAGGCCACACTGCTACAGCAGCCTAGGAGTTGTATGGGGAAAAGGCATCCTTCCTGCCCCATACTTTTTGCCCTGGCTGGCATGAGAAATGGAGCTTTGGGTGTAGAGTGAACAACACCATTAAGCCCTGCTGCTTTGAGTGTCAGTGAAAGAGTCAACTGAAGCCAAATTGTGTAGTTTTTGGTTGGAGGGCAGTTAACCTTAAAAACGCTATGTCACTGTTCAGGTGGTAGAAAATAATCTTCCTCTGGTTGTAGATTCCACCCTGAATGGCAAACTATGATATCTTCCAGGCTCAGAAGAAGAAAGAAGTTCAGAAAGCTAGCCATGTTAGTTGGTTTCAGCAAAAACAATAGTCTTGTGGCACCTAAAGTCTAGCAAATCTATTATTGTTTACTAAAGTTCGCACTAAAAACAAGCTAAACTAAACCAAAGTTTTTTGGTCCAAAATCCACAGATGAGTACAAACCAAAATGTTACAAGATAATGAGCACAACATTACAAATCCTCCAGAAACACTTTTATCAGGCTAGACGGTACTCAAAACGTGTTACAGGAGGGAAGAAAGAGGTGTCTAAAGAAATTAATGAAGAAACCCAATATTTTAGTTGGGGCAGAAGCAAGAGAAGGTAAAGGACCACTGTGGTGCAGTGACTGAAATAAACTCTATTGCTGCATTCTGCATAAATTTAATGCACATGCAGACTCCTGGGTGCCATAATCTACTTCTCCCCCCCCCCAATTTTTTTATTGATTTTCCAAATTAATAACAAACACGAACAAACAAACAAACATAAATCCTAACTGTAATAATTCCACTTTTGTTAACATTGTTAAGTGACTTCCGCGAATCCCCCTGGCTGAGTTTCAGTGTATATCATTGTAACAGTTTTCCAAAACTTAATTCCTCATAAAATTTACTTACTCAATTTACATCTTTCTTTCTTTTCATATTTAACTTTAAACATATTATTTTATAACGTCACCTATTTAAATCCTTAGCCAATCTGGTATTTGCAAGTATTTCTGTCTAAGTTATCTTAGCATATTTAGCTGAAAAGTCTTTAAATTTCATCCATTCCTCGCCATAATCTACTTCTCACAGGGAGCTACAATTCCCAGCACCCTTAAACTACCATTCCCAGAATTATTTTGGTGCTTCACTGAGCAAAAATTGGGAATCAGCTTAATTCACCTCCCAGGGTTGTTAAGAGGATGAAAAGGGGTGCAGTGTGCTCCTTGTCCTGGGATGAAAAGCACCACAGTGGTCCTTTAACCTTCTCTTGCCTCTGCCCCAACTAAAATATTGGGTTTCTTCATTAATTTCTTTAGACACCTCTTTCTTCCCTCCTGTAACACGTTTTGTGTACCGTCTAGCCTGATAAAAGTGTTCTTCTGGAGGATTTGTAATGTTGTGCTCATTATCTTGTAACATTTTGGTTTGTACTCATCTGTGGATTTTGGACCAAAAAGCTTTGGTTCAGTTTAGCTTGTTTTTAGTGCAAGCTTTAGTAAACAATAATAGATTTGCTAGACTTTAGGTGCCATAAGACTATTGTTTTTGCTGAAACAAACTAACATGGCTAGCTTTATAATGAATAAAGAAGGCACTTTTAAAACAACCCGTTTCTCCCCCAATTATTCAGCGCCTTTTCCTTCCCCCTTCTTCGGTCTCATGAAAGGTGATGAGGCGGGAGCCACGGAAGAATTGCAGCCCAGCTGAGGGGCTCTTCTTCCCTTCCTCCCTCTCGGGCCGCTGGGTGGAATCCGGGCCTGGCCGCGTCCATAGCAACAGCTGCCAGTAGAAGCACCTGAACGCCGAGAGAGAAAGAAGGCGGACGAGGCGGGCAGGGCGCGCGCGCTGGGCACCCATTTGTCCTTCCATCCAGCAAGCAGGGTAAGCGCGGGGTTAAGGCCGCTTCAGGAGGCGAGGAGCAGAGAGAAGCCCAAGTATTATTAATTACACAGGAGTTTCTCAATCTTCTCAAGGGGCCCCTTATTGCCTCGAGAAGCCGGGAAACAGGCCCTGCCGGAGGGAGTTTGTTGGCTGCGCTTTAAGTTCGGGTTACTTAACTGCAGGAACTGCAATGGTTTTACTGTAATGGAATTTGGGGACGAATTTCAGAAGGAAAAACTGGGAACATAAGAGCTAGATCAGGCCCATCTAGTTTCTCGTGTGTAAAATGTTTAGGGGTACGTACTCTCATTTTGATTCAAGAAAATCACCATTTTATAGTTCAAATCTGGAAAAATAAATACAGTAAATGGACAAAAGTACAAAGATTCACAAATGTTTAGGGGTAGGTGTACCCCTGCATCCCTCCAGAAAAAAGCCCTGCATTTATTCATCTACTTTAAATATATGCTTTTATAAAACTGTTGCAGGTTACTGTATTACAATAATCCTGCCAATGTTCTTACCAGTTTACAATTTGTTTGTAAACATTCGATAAACCATTTCCATTCTTTTATAAAAAGTTTGTAATCTTGATTTCTTATTTTTCACCTTTTCTGCGTATTCCATAAGTTTTTGTATCCATTCTTGTTTTGGGCAAGTAACAGCATTCTTGCTGCTGTAATAGCATACAGGAATAAATTTCTGTACAGTTTGGGTAGTTCTGTCCCTATAATTCCCCAAAGGGAAGCTTCTGGGTTTTTCTTATAAACATTATTTTAAACATCTTTTTCAGTTCATTCTATATCATTTCCCAGTAAGGTTTAACCAGTAAGCCGCCATGAATCCTCCTTCCTGGAAACTGTGGGATGATGATGATGATGATGATAATGATAATGATAATATAATATAGTTCTGCACCATGTTTTCACAGTGGCTAACCAGATGTCTATGAAACACCCACAAGGAAGACCTGAGTGCAAAAGCGAGTGTGGTTAGGGAGTAATGTTAACCTGGGGCCCGCTTTCAGCCCCAAAAACCCAATCCTTTTTAATTTTTATTAAAAAAAACCCATGTATATGATTTATTGCTGCTGTTGTGAGTGACTCACTTAAATCAGGCTGCAACCCTGTCATGGGCCTGGTCCTACTCCAATAGATGGATTGGCTAGGGTATATACAGGCAACACCCCCCCCCCATTTACGTGTGTTGATTATGTGTGTGACTGTGTATACCTTTCCTTGCATTTCCTTTCAAGCATTAAGCAGAGGTAGCCAATTATTCCCGAATTAATAATTGTCGGATGTGAATGTGGTTTTGTGTTTGTAACACCCGAGAAAGACAGAGGCTCAAATCTTCATTTCTGAGTCCTTGGGGCCAATATTACTTATCCTGCAGGGTACTTCAAGGTTTAGTTTTTATTTTATTCAATGAAATATATATGTTGCTATTCTAAGAAAACCTCTGAGCAGTTTATAGAAAACTGACAAAACGTATGTAATGTTACGCTAGCTTTAAAGTATTTTTCCTGTTCTTCCTGATGGGTTTGAACTGTGCAATGTAATCCATTTGGAAATGTTTCTTGCAGCGGTGTAGCTAGCTGCTCGGGTGCCCGAGGTATAGGGCGGCTGAGGGGGAGGTGGCGAGCAGACACAAGCCCCACACTGCCGCTTTGGGCAGTGGGGAGCTAGCAGGGGCCTGAGCCACCACGTCACTCCCAGTTACCAACACCACAGTAAGCGCCACCCCTGTAGTGTGGTACCCAATGTGCCCCACCCCCAACTCCCTAGCTACGCCTCTGGTTTGTTGGTTGTTTACAATTTTGCATGGATTTAAAAGATTCTTATATCAAATGACCCACTGAATTTTGTTCCCCTGCAAAAAAAAGAAAAAGCCCTATTATCCAAGCAACTCTCATTAGTTTTAGTGTAACTTGTGGACTTTGTTGTGGATAGTTCCCAGAGTCAAATAGGTTCTTTCAGTAAAATTGATTCATCCAGCTAATCAAATCTAACACAGCTTTCAAGCAAAGATAATTTGCTCTTTTCCACATCTTCAGCTCTACTGAAAATGTCTTTCTGGCATTTTCAAAGTTTTTTTGGGGTGTGTGTGTGTGTGTTAAAGTTGCTTAAATGGAGCTAGTCCCAGTCTGTTGGGCTAAAACAAAAATGCAATCTTTTAAAAAAACAATTGTTTTGCAGTATAATGGCTTGGTCATAAAACAATTCTCCACTTCTGTCTTTTTTTTGCGTCTTGTCTTGATCTTGTCTTGGATTGATGTATACAAATACTGTCATTAGGGAGGGCAGCCTCTGATCAGTTACATGAGGTTGTGTTTGTGAAACATGAATCTGGAAACACTTATGTGTCAAGTTTGCTTCATTATCTGATAAATTGTGTCATTTGAAACCCCCCACCCCAATTATAAACTAGTGGACTGTTTCTGCCTTATTGAGTCATGGTTTCTGTATTATGAAAAGTTAAGCATAAAAAGTTTTTTGGAAGCTGGTGTAGCACAGTGGCTTAAGAGACTAAGCAACAAATCAGGGATTTCGTGGTTCAAATCTAATCTCTACCTTGAACTGATTGAGGTGCCCTTACAAGGTGAACTCATTAGGTGGCCTGCAATATATGGGAAAATAAAACTGACCGTGCTTATTACAAGGCCGATACAATTGTTACTATTTTTAAGACAACAAGTTATAACACAAGCAATCTGTTTTCTTCCGCCTATACTAGGAGCTGATGCGCAGCTTTTCTCATTACTGCAGGACAGTAGAAGTAGCATCTGTTGAGCTCACCCCTATTATAAAAGTTATGAGAGCCACGGTTGCATTTCTTGGGGGTCATGAGTTCACATCTTTCCTAGCATGCCTTCCAGTGACATTGTCCATATATAATTTCCAGAGGGGCCAGCCACTCCTTATAGTTGCACAAAAAATTGCAATATGGCAAAGACTTAACTATAAATGGACAGTAGATGGAGCACTCTGCCAAGCATATTGAGTCTTTCATTGGGCTACTACAGATACGTATTGTGATATCTGTACGTATGCTGCATATGCTTCCATCTATTCTTACCCCTTAATCAAGAAGTGAAAATGTCATGATTGTGTTTTAATTTATTAGAAAACCTTGTTCTCTGCATGGTTCCTGGAGCAGAGAGCTATTAATTTTGGTATTTCGAGCTACTTACGTGGTTATTTTAGTTCTAGGAGCAACTTTCTTATATACAGTGGTACCTCGGGTTACATACACTTCAGGTTACATACGCTTCAGGTTACAGACTCCGCTAACCCAGAAATAGTACCTCGGGTTAAGAACTTTGCTTCAGGATGAGAACAGAAATCATGCTCCGGCGGCGTGGCAGCAGCAGGAGGCTCCATTAGCTAAAGTGGTGCTTCAGGTTAATAATAATAATAATAATAATAATAATAATAATAATAACAACAATAATAATTAATAATAAAAAAATTAGTTATATCCCTCCCTCCCCAGCCAAAGCCGGGCTCAGGGCGGCTAACAGCAAAGAACAGTTTCAGATTAAGAACGGAGCTCCGGAACGAATTAAGTACTTAACCCGAGGTACTGCTGTACATTTAAGGACTTGACCATTATGTACGGCTTTATATTTCAACAGGGTGTTAAATCCAGGTTAGAGGAGATAAGAAAGGGTTTGTGCTAGGGGTGAGAGCAACAGAAGGAGTGGCTATGCAGAACAAGGGGGATTCTCTTAGGAGGAATTTTGGGATTCAGACTTTGTCCCCATCGCTGTGTGTGTGTGTGTGTGTGTGTGTGTGTGTGTATCTATCTGTATATCTCTCTGTGTGCATATATATATATATATATATATGCGCATATAGATACAGATATAATGTTACCTATCCAGATCTAGAAGGATGAGATACCAGCCCCTTTATATTGAGACAAACTTTAAAACATTTCACTATTTTTCAGTGGATGTAATTGCAAGCCAATTTATTTGTGACATTAATCATGTGATTTGCCCTTGAGTGCTATTTTCTTTCACAAATAGCCAGAGCAGGACCCCAGTCCAGACCAGGACTCTAGTTTGGCAGGGGGATACGTGACTCTAACCTTTTGTCTCTGCTGCAGTCCCAGTCTTGGTTGCCCCCCATCTCTAGGGTCTGCTATTTGCATTTGGGGGGCATTCTGGATTGGGATCACAGGGAGGGGGGAGGGGGTTACAGACTCCTATTTCCAAAACCAAAGTCCACCCACACCAGACTTGGTGGCAAGTATTGGTGACTATTGGTGTACAAAAAATCCTGCATTTGAAGGTAAACCACATGCAGCTTGGCCCTGACTCTGGTTGAATATGAAGCAAAACCACCCCGTTTCCTTTTTTCTCCCACTTTGAGCACTGATCCATGCCAGCATTTGCTTATGTGCATATGTAATATTATTTCTCAGGCTCAGTTATGCATATATAAAATTGAAATAATAGTTGCCTCCTCATGGGAGTTTAGATGAAAGACTTGCAAAATGGTTTTATGTATAAATAAATACATGGTTCTTATTCATAATGTCGTCACTCCAGATGCCTCTCTGCAGGACAGTCTTATTGCAGATGCTTTAATTTCCAGTGCTCAGATCACTGGATACTGTCCCCCCCCCCACCGTTATCTTTAGTGTTACGCTTGCTGTTGCAGCAGGCAATGTGGTAGAAATCACACTCTAGGTATCAAGTTGGGGCTCGTATGTGTTTGTGGGAGAAATCCAGACTCTTATCAACTGGAAAGGCATTTAACATTGCAAAGAACTTTGCATAGCAAACATTTTGATTAAGGACCTTGTGACCCAGCCAAGTGAGCTACCATGGGCTCATGCCCGGCATTCTCAGAGAGTTGCTGGTAGGAATTGTGGGGAGGGGAGAGATCCAGGTCAGTTCACATTTAAGGGGCAAGCCCACCTAATTTGCTCATTTTGAAACCTTCCAAATTCGCACCTGTCCCGTGTTTGCAATGCAGCTCTCCGACCAG